ATAGTATGTCAACTGAGGCTAAAGTATTAAGCAGCTTGCATTAAAAACTTCAATGTCAGTTCTCTGTATAATCTTTCCATTCTGAAAATACTGTAATGTATTCAGTACAGCACACACTGTCCATATTCTGTTAATTTGCTAGATGACATATCACATGGCTATCCACGTTATGCTACCTACTGCTTTTAAATTTAAGATAGGGATAAAATAGACATAATTAATCTCAGTTACCAATTTTAATATTTGAATTGGTATTTGAAAGCTGGTATACAGTGCAGAAGTCTACAGAATCACAGAATGGCTGAGGTTGGAATGGACCTCTGGAGGTCATCTTGCCCAACTACCTACTTAGTGTGGAGTAAAGTAGAGCAGGTTGCTCAGGACTGTGTACAATCAAGCCCAGAAAATCTCCAGAAATGGAGACTCAACAACCTGTCTGGACAACCTGCTCTAGCATTCAATCATCTTTAAATTATGGGGAATATAGTAAACTACTCACTTCAAGTCAGTCATTATTCTAGCAAAAATAATAAAAGTCACATTACTCTTGACAAAGGAAAAAAATAGCTAAATCATTTTGAAAATGCTGATTATTCTCCTTAGAAAGCAGGTCTATGAATAGTAGCAAAAATGGATTTACTTTTTTTTTTTTTTTCCCCCCAATAGAAGCTTCTTTCATGAGAGGTCTAGTGCTTGACACTGGAAAAATACACAGAATGCAATCCCTATGTCAAGTTCACAGTATGCCATCAAGGAAGGACAAAGAGCCTCAAGTATACAGAAATACCTACAATCTTTGTAATTAGAAGGTATGCCATTTGCAAGAGTTATAAAGTAGACCCGTTCCTTCTTCTTTCTCCAAAAATTGAAATAAGCTAAGTTCAGCTTTCATTTTCCATTTTCTTTAACAACATTCTACATATATTTAACATAACATGTAACATATTTCTTCTTTAAAAGAGTAATGGAGAAATAACCCCAGATTACTAAGTGCAAATATTGTTTTATTTTTTAAATTCACATAATAAAGAAAATTTTGATAAACTGTGCCATATATTATATACATTAGAGTCAAAAGTCAGGCAGCGTATTTAAAAAACCATTAATCATTCACATGATTTTTCTGGGCATGGCAAGTTACGGAAAAGACATCAGCACCACAGTCAAAACAAGAATTTGAAGCTTCCTAATAAAGAATATGAAATCTGTAAAGGCAAAATAAAATAACTACATCAATTAGAATTGAATGCGAGATCTTTCTGTTACCTCATAAATAGCAGAAGTGAATCACAAAATTGAATTATAGAGTATTTTCATCTGACACAAGAAAAACAGAAAACAAGATATGGAGCTTACCACAATCTTTTCCTCTGAAAATTAATTATTAATTCTTTCCACAGCTTAGACATACAAAGGAGACTACATCATGGTTAATTTTCACACTTATGTATATAGTCATGGAAGACAGCACACAAACTTTAATAGTAACTGTCAAATTCTAATAATTATTTTGATTGATAAAAATGTCAAATGATTTTCCAACCATACCACTTCTTCCACCAACCTCCTTCCCCTCCCCTCCCCCCCAATAAAAAACAAAAAAACAACACAACAAAGATTTTTCAATACAATTATAGTGATTCATGAATCATAAAACTATAAAACAGAATTAGTTCTGTCATCAGATCTACATTCCTATTAGAACTTTTGCAATCTATTGGTTTGATACTTCGGCTTCTTCCACATCCCGAGTTGCCATTATCATGCCAGTAGAATGGAGTTTGATGGACAAATCTTACACACTCAAAGCATAGAACAGATATTAATTTATGTCTGCAACGCTATGAATCAAGCAGGTATTTTACATATGGGAAAATCAAAGAAAGGTGAAGTGCTTTGTCTAACGGCACTTGGAAGAAATGAGTAACAGTGCTCTAATTAAAATTCAACATCAAAAATCATATTAATCCTCAAGACCTAGCTGCATTTTTCAAAGTGCATGATTTGGAACATCAAAAAAAAGAATCAGATCAGTCTTTCTCCTCAGTACTCACATTAATGATAAAACATTGCATTCATCTTCTTCCCCTGTATTAGCATGAACAGTCATTTTTCTCAGATATAAAATTCACAAAACCATTTGGATTTAAAAGAAATATTTATAAACAAGTCCAGGTCACAATTAAAATTTAAATTCTACATTTGATTTGGCCTATATCTCTACATACTGAGAGTCTCAGAAAAAAATCACATACATGCCAAGTACGTTAGTATACCAACTTATACCAGACTGATTTAATTAGTTTGCTTTCAATGCAAAGGTGCAGCACCTCAGCAATTATGAGATCGTTAATACAACAGAGCATAACAGCACCTTTAGAGGTCTTGTCTAACCTCTAGGCACACATATAACTCCCATTAAGGCTAATGGGAGTCACATGTGTGCAACCAAGGGAGAAGAGGCCCATTAAAACTGATACAACACATCCATTAATCTTCAGGTCACTCTTAAGGTCAAACATTATAAAAATGTTTATGAACAGTACTTACTAGGTATGCACAGTGGCTACTTTGGTTTTAGGAGAGACCTGTGAGCAGTTAAGGCCATGGAAAATGTCTGCTTTAAAAGCATCACCGTTTCAAGCAGTAGCATGGAAATTTGAAAATGCTTTTCTATAGTGAAAGAACATTTTGTTATAATCTCTTGAATTAGAAGGATAGGAGTGACAGAAAAGGTTAGATGCGATGAAAACCTTGGACAAAGGTATGCTCTAACTTTTCATTTTACTTCCAGCTCCCTCTCTTTCTTCATACTTCAATCCTTTACTTGTGGTTTTCTGCTTCAGGAAGAACATCGCACTGACTAAATTCCTAATCTGTGAAGTATGCCACAAAGACACTACAAGTAAGATTTTGATTATTGAATCACTTGCAAACCACAACAATTCAAGCACTCGTTGCAGGGTGAACTGAGTTTTTAAAGTTTTTCAGAGAAAGGTGATCTTAGTTTGCTATCCATTTCATTCTCTCTATGTGAAACCCCTCTTATTCAACACTGTAGTATAGTTTAGGCAAGCATGACCATTCCCAGATTTGAAAAAGCTAAAGGTACCAATTTCCAGCCATTTCATTTGCAAAAGCAGTCCAATCAGAAATGAGTTTGCTATCTTCATCCGCTGAATCCTGGAGGAGAAAGAGATTTCTCAGAAGCATGCGGTCAAACGATCTCTCCACATGAACAGAGCAGAAGGAATGGCAGATGGGAATGCAATTGTTAGATGAATACAGAAATGAAGACAAGCTTCAAATATGTTTAGCGTTCAAGAATTTGGGCGAGGAAAACTGGCTTCATTGAGTTTACTATACTGACAAAATATTCTGAAACTTGTCTTTCACAATTACATTCAATACTCTTACATTGCAAGTGAAATTTATTCATTACTCTCTGATTACACTTGTCACAGAATCTTTGTTTCAAGCACTGACAACTAGTTTATCTCAGCACTCCAAGCTTGCACTCTAAGACCTTACATAGCAAACAGAGATGGTCACTGGAACAATTTCTCACCTAGAAAGTGAAGCTCCAAGGGAAAGCCAATAAATACAAAGCCACAAAAGAATGCTGTACAATGCTTCAGTCTTGAGCTGCAGGTCATCTATTGTTTTATTGTGGTTTGCCCATTGAAAGTAGGGTCTCACTGCACAGAACTTTTATACACCACTACAGCTCTTTATGCCCTGAAACAAGTGTTCTATGTTTCTAATTCAAATTTGCTTTCTAAACCAAAATCATAGAATCTTTTGAGTTGGAAAAGACTCTTTAAGTCCAACTCCCTGCAATGAACAGGGACATCCATGACTAGATCAGGATGCTCAGCGCCTGGTCCAGCTTCACCTGGATGTCTCTAGGTGCAGAGTTGTCTCATCAACCACCTCTTTGGACAAGCTGTTCCAGGGCCTAACCACACTTACTGTAAAAAATGTCTTATGTTCAATCTAAATCTCCCCTCTTTTAACTTGAATTCATTTCCTCATATCCTATCACCACAGACCCTGATAGCCTGTCCCCTTCCTCCTCATTCCCCCCTTTTAGATACTGTAGTTGGCTATCAGGTTTCCCAAGAGACTAAGCTATCTAATGGACTTCTCCTCAGCCAAGTGCGCATCATGTTCAAATCTTTTATATCAAAACAAAATCAGAAACTGTAAGTGAACTATTTCCATACCTTTTATAAACTTTGCAGGCTAATTGCTGAGAAGCCAAGAGACCACAATCTACTTTTAACACTCACAAGTATTACTCAGCAGTTCCTATTCTTTTCACCTTTCCCCCAACACCCCTGTGGTACTACTACCTGTATCTCCCCAGCTGCCCTTTCCAGACAGATCAAACACACTGTGGCCAGTAAGACAGGACCTTTACGTGTCACTGTTATCAGCGTCCCATCTGTCAACCCAGCACCACACAGCACTGGAGAAAGGCACTACTGCCTGTAGTGCTTACGGGCTGTTACCACATTTTCACTACAGTCTGCTGCATTCCTCTCCTCTCACAAGCCTGTGATCTGCCAGTAAGCGCTACATACACCCCTCAGCCTGCAGGGCCACAGCCGCAGCTCAGGTTGCTGTAAGCCCCAGGCGGCCCCGCTCCGAGGGCACCAAACAGAGGATCCAGAGCAAGCTAAGGCCGGAGCCGGTGCTCTCCGAGCACAGTACTTCCTTGTCCAGCCCGCTGAACTGTCCCCGAGGCCCAGCGGGAGAGCTCACAGCCACGCACTCGACTCCCGAAACAGCCATTTCCCCATAACAGCAGAAACTCCAATCATACACTCTACGCCTTGGCACAGGCAACGCCCCGCCTCCCGCCCTCTTCCATTGGCTCCTCAGCTTCACCCTTTGTCGCTTAATTTGCTCCCTGGCCTGTCAGTCAATTACCCCCGCGCCGCGATTGCTACCCTGGTAGCCGTTCTAACGCGTCATCTCTATGCCCGAAGGTACTTCCTGTGCGACCGCTCTAGGCACTTACCTGTGGCATCCATCGCCTATGCCGCCGCCTCTCTAGGCTGTGGGTGCTCGCTCTGTGACCCAGGCGGGGCGGGCTAGCAGGACGGGGTCCGTGGAGGCAGCCGAGTGGCGGTCCCGGCGGGGCCTCCGTCCGCGCGAGGTGCGAGGTAGAGCCGCGTAGGCCGTGCGGCCCGGGCCCCGCGGCACAGGTCAGTCGGGGCGCGGGACGAGGTGAGCGGGGCCGTGGCGGCGCAGGTCCCGCTGACCGCCTGGCTCTTGGGCCGTGCAAGCTCAGGGCCGCGGGCCTGCTGGGGTCAGCCCCAGGCCTTTCTTGTAAACGCTTTGTTTCTCGTTGTGGCCTTGCCGGGTTTTGCAGTTCCGCAAGTCCCACTGGTGTTTTTTCCCTGCTGCCCGCTGTCTGCCCAAGGAGGCTGTGAGTCTTCCAGCTAGGACGAAATGTAAGGTAAGAGAAGAGGAAGCCTTAAAACACGTTCCGTAGAGAGGACAGCACGTTGAATTTTGGCAGACATGGTTTTTCATCTGAATTGTTAATTGTCGATGTCAGTTGAAATTGCAAAACATTTATAGGAAACTTCCCTGTAGCTATGATACGACTCAGTTCAAGGCTGTTCTTTGCTGGGGGTGATAGTAAATCTTTTCCACTTTATTTTAACCCAGTCTTGTGTAGCCTACTAGTGTTTAGTTGCCAACCAATGGCTTCTCCCAAAACTAAAGCAGGTTTAGTCTGAACGGCCAAGTTATTTTGGCAGGAAGATGAATTCCAGTTCATGATAGAGTTACTGCTGTGAACCAGAGGGCTGTGTATTTCCTTCAGCCCAGATTTCTTGTATCGTCATCTGAGTGCTGGCAGGAGGGAACAGTTCACCAGGGTCAAAGGTTAAAGTATGGCCACTAATGTTGTAAAAGCTGATTCCAGTAAAATAAAATAAAACAAATACATAAATATTTTGAAAGTTAGTGAATTCTTGTCTAACTTTTTGGAGCCATTATTAATGTGCAGTTGAGCAGCAGTTCCCAATAAACTGTTAATTCTAAGACTATTACTGTTTTCATTTCTTTTCAGAGGTATTCTATCACTGCTTTCTTCTACAAATGTTTTTTCTCTGTATGTCTCGGTTTCATCTGAACAATTTTTCATCTTCTGCAGGGTGTTATCATCACTAGTTTAATGGAATGGATTAGCAGGAAAACAGCTGAGAAAGGCATCATTGCTGGGATATGAGTTAGAATAGAAAGAAACTATTGAAGGGAGTAACAGTTCACACCTCTGAATTCTCCTGTTTAAATCTGTTCATGAGCCATGAAGTCATCAATTTCAGTTATTTGATCTGGAGTGGAGTGGATAACTTCACACCTATGGGATCTATAAATGAAATCTCTAGAAGACTTCTTCCATATTTTTTTGTGAAAGTGGAATAGACCACTAAGGCACATAATGTCAAGTGTATTGGAGGGATTTGACACTTAAACTTTAGTGTCATGGAAATAGATGACTGTCATTATTAGAACACCTGCTTTGACAGCTGATGCTCTTATAGGAATACTATTTTGAATTAATAAGCCATATTATCTGCATATCCTGTTTTTGGAGAGAGTATTTCACCACTTAGATCTATACTGATGTTTGTGTATGGTGCTGTGCATGGCATATTTTGCTACAAATAGGCTAGTTCAGAATAAATCCAATTTCTGAAAAGAACTTATCCTTCCGATACGTTACCAACATATATGTTATAGTAACGCATTGAAAATAATACTTTCATTGCTGAAAGTTGTTAGAAGATCATCTATCTGTGCAAATCTATTACTAAGAAAGCATCATTGTCATTATTTGTATTTCTCATAGTGTTTTAATAGTTTGTGCATTTACACTTTAATTACTCTTTAAGCAGCTGAAGTAAGTTTTGGCCTAGAGTTTTGCCTCTAGTTCTAAATCCCTTTAGCTTCTTCTTGCCTTGGACCAAATTTATGTTTTTAATTATTGAAGTCATCCTTTCTAGAACTAAGACGAAGGAAATTAATTCCCTTTAAAACTTCAGTGTAAGTTTTAGAGTTGGCGTAACTGGATAGACAGTTTGAAATTAGACATCTCATTGAATGGCTAAATTTCTTTCACTTGTGCTACAGGTGTTTCAGAACTGCAGTAACACTGGTGAAATTAGACATTTCTAAATGAACTCATATTCTAGTCTCAAATCTGTCGTTAGAAACACTTAGAATGACACAGGCACATAAAATATCATCCTTTGAACTTACTTAAGAGAAGTTTCATCGCTCAGATAATGGACCTTCAAATGCTACGTAAATGCTTTCACCGATTAAAAGACTGTCAGGTAATGTGAATGATATACCCCATTTAATGTTGGGGGATTAATGAGGATTAAAGTAGCTATACCAAACAAGAATGTAAGGATTCAAACCCTTATTAATGAAGTAAAACTGATTCAATTTCATTGTGTAAGGAGAACAATTTATTTACATATGATTATTTATAAATGCAAATAATCGTTAATGTCTGTGTTGGCTGGTAAACTGAAATATAAGTTAGGTTCATTATTAGATTAATATGTGTAAATAAAATGGTCTGATTTGCTGGATTCACTTTCAGCTATTGAGCATTCTGAAAATTCTAAATGGAGCAAAATCAACTACTCTGGTAAAATAACTTTGATTTTTAGTGTCTAACTTTTGTTTTCATTCCAAACTGAATGTCTTTCGAGCAAGGAGAGTGTTGTTTGTGAAGCAATTTTTTGTTGTTGTTTGCTTGAGAGCTGTGTGCCTTTGTCTCCTTTTGGACAAATATATTTTTTTTCCCTCTGAGACTGGATGTCACTTCTTTTGTTATTGAAGGAAGTGACTCACAGAAAAGCTTTGATACTTACTGTGATTCAGGACGTGTAGGAAGCAAGTGTTCCTTTGATGGACTAAATAAAACTCAATTAAAACTTGCAAGCAAGTTTTAATATATTGATAATATGTAAAGACTTCCTTAGACACTGTGTAGAATGGAATGGAGAAGGTAATTTGTATACTCCTGAAGATTTTTGACACTGTTAGTAATCTGCAGTCCTCCATTTGTGGTTTTGACATCAAATGCTGTGGTGCAAGTCAAGAAAGACATTTGATCTTCTCCAGTGTTTTATCTCTTATAGTCTTTTATAGTGACAGTTCTAAAAACTGCTGCAGATCCCAGCAACTCATAGAACAATTGGGAAGGAAAGAATGAAGCAAGTTTGACTACAGAGTATCAATATCTTATGTCTATATAGCAATCAACATAGATTATGTATATATTGTGAAATCAATAAAGGTGTAGATAATTGAGGGACAAGGAATGATCTCTGAATTCAATATTAACATGTATCCTGTTGTAGTAATCTAACACATGGTATTTCAGAAGTGAAGTTGGTGGGAGAAGATGAAGAGGTGCCTAAAGGAAAACTAGTCAGCTAAACTATGGACAGATCATTCAGCAGTGTCAGACCATGATGTAAATACCTTATTACCAATGTTTTGGGTTTTTTTGTCTGTGTTGGTTTTAATGGCCTGCATTTTTCTGGCGTTGCTTTTTTTTTCTTTTTAAATTCCATAGCCCTGCATTTGCAGTTTCTATGATTATTTACTGAGATCAGAAATAAAGATCTTAAATCTGTCAAACCCTGGTAAACTTAAGGCGTAAATGCAGCTTCATTAAATTAGCTTGTAAACATGATTTCCTCTAATATCAATAAAGAAACAGACAAACATGAATAATAACAGAAAGAAATGTTCTTCAAATATTATGAACTTGTTCTGTATTAACTCCGTAATTGAAGAGTAAGATGTATTCTGTGACATTATCTTTAGCATGTGATTTCTAAAAGTTGTTTGATATTTAGTGATTTTTGGAGAAATGTTTTCTTTAGTCTTTGTGTCTTTGATTGAGATTCTGTGGATAATACATTTCTAGTGAGGAATGGAAACTATTTTCAGACATGTTAAAGTCAATAAGGTGATCAGGAGTAGTCAGCATAGATTCTCTAAGGGGAACAGAGTTATGCATGACAAACCTGATAACTTCCTATGATAAGTTTCTAAGAGAAAGACAGAAGAAGAACACCAGTTACAGTCTGTCTGGACTTCAGTATGATTTCTGATGCTGTCTCCCACAATGCCATCATTGAAAATCTCTTTATATGTGGGCTTGTTGAGCAGACAGGGAGGTGGACTGAAAACAGGCAGAACATCCAGGCTAAGAGGATGGTGAGCAGTGGTGCAAAGTCTGATAAGCAGTTAGAAGGTAACTAGGAGCGTACCGTTGGGTTTAATACTATGTTTTCTCCTATTTAACATTTTCATGTTAAAGTGGTCAAGGTTTTGCATCTTTTCAGTCTCCTCAACACTGGTAAGGCCAGATCTGGAGTGTTCTGTCTCCTTGGCTCCTCAGTAGAAGAAAGATGGGGGAGTTCCTGAGGGTTCAGTGGAGGGAATTCAGTTAAGGGACTGGATCATTTCACATACAAGGAAAGGTTGAGAGAGCTAGGACTTGTAAACCTGGAGGGGAAAAGGTTTAGGATGAAACTCATGGGTGCGTATGTGTACCTGCGGTGCAGATGCAAAGAGAGCAGAGCCAGGCTCTTCTCAGTGGTGCCCCTGGACAGGACAAGAGGCAGTGGGCACAAGCTGCAGCAGGGAAATTTCTCTCTGAACTTGAGGGAGGCACTTGAGTACTGTGTGGTTGATGGAGCACTGGTGCAGATTGCCCAGAATTGCTGTGGAATTCTCTTCTTTGGAGATATTCAAAAGCTGAATGAAAAAGGTCCTGGGCATCCTGCTCTAGATGTCCCTGTTGTGTTGGACATTGTAAGTTTGAAATAAACACATTGATCCCTTTCTACTTTCCCCTATTATCACACGTATTTTCTTTAAATAAATTTAAAAAAAAAATAAAAATAAAAATAAAAGCAATTCAGAGTTTTTGTGTTGTTAGCTGCGGTAAATACACAAACAGTATTTGTCAAGCCACTTGTGGAATTTTGCAGAATTAATTTAAGAAATTCAGAGGGGGAAGTCACTTTTTAATTACTTCAAAATAACAGATAAAAAACCTCCTTTCCCATGGGCCTCAAAAGAGGCACATTTTTCCTTAGATCACTCAACTCCATCCTGTAGGTGCGAAGTGTACGTTGTTCCTACACATTATGTGCTTAGTTCTTTACAAAAGCACTTATATATGTATGTAATTAGCTGATGTTTGTTTGGCCAATTAAAATCAGTCTTAAGAAAATTTTAATGTGTATTTCCCCTAACAGTGATTGTTTTCTAAATGTGAACTTTCCAGGCACAGCTTCTGAGTTCACAAATTCTTTTAGAACATAGCAAGAGTGGCTTCACATCTATTGTGTTTATATCTCAGTCTGCCTGGGAAAAACCTGTCTAAAAATGTGCTCTCTCTGCCACTGC